TTTAATAACTCTTTTTTAGTTATACTTGTAGTCCTTTTAATATGAAGAATATGTTTTTTTTGAGCCAACCAAATTTTTTGAAGTGTTAAGAATATATAAGTTTGACTTATTTCTACTTAAAATTTACTATTTTTTCTTTTTTTTTCTTTTTTTACTTGAAATTCACTTTTTTTTTTCATTTTTCGATTGTCTCCAATTGACAAATAACAAACCAAACATTCAAAATACAACTAAAAATATATATAAATTTCACTCTTAAATATATAATCTCACAAGATATAAAGTCCTTTAAAGTTTATCAAGTTTTTTTAGTTTTAAAATATTTGCGTACCCTAAATTCATCACAAACCTTCAAATATTTAGATAAAAATAATGTAAAAATGTAAAATAAAAAACCCAAAAAAACAAGAACAAAAACTGATAGACAGAACAAATTTGTTTAAACTAAAAATAAAAAATAATCATTGTTCAAATTAAAAAATAAAAACATGCAACTCTTTGTTTTTTTGGTATAGCATTGTCAACTCTTTTATTCTGAAAAAGGATATTTTGAGAAAAGTATATTATGTTTTTTAAATTGTTTTTGTAACAACATGTACGAATAAAGTTGGTCGAGAATAGACAATTATACCTAGAAAAAGTTAAGTAATATATATATTCCGGAATTATATAGTAATCTCATTTTTTAAAGTAGCTTGGTTAAAAAATATATATTCATTTTTATCAAACGCTATTTAAGTCGTTAATAATGGTTAAAAATTAACAATTTTTTTTACCATGAATCACAGCATGTGTACAATGATAATATTAAGTGATATACTTCTGACTTGTATATATGAGTTTTTGGTTATTTATTTTTTATTATTATATTTTTATAATTTAATTTTAGACTTGCTTTCAACCAATGCTTGTGCTTTTTAAGCTATACAGTCATAAAAAATAATTTTTGACATACAACTTTCTTTTTAAAATTGCATGTAACAATAAATATTTTAATATATCATCTAATCTATTTACATCGTGTTATTTAAATTTATCACTCTAAATTTCAGAAGATTACATTTATGGTATATTAAGACCAGTTTTAAAATGGAAGTCTCGTACAATATACCAACTAAAAACATTAAAAAAATAATTTATTTTATTTTGCATGGAATGAACTATTAGTTTTATATAGCAGCGTATAGTCTCTCTATAATTTACTTTTATAGAATAAATAAAAGTGTCATGCATGATGCATAACATAAAAGAGAAAGATGGACAGCTATGGGACCCGAGTGTTTGAGACTTTTATAAGAAGCTACTTTGCAAAGTTTTAGTTTTAGAAAGAGAAAAAAAACTTCATAGATATTCCTATTTGTTTGAACTTCGAAAATTATGCATTAATTATGATTTTTTCTTTGACTTAATCGATAATATTCTATATAACACTGTATTTATATCATTTATTATGAAATATATTATATAAAGCATGCTTTAATTTTAAAATTATATATAATTTTAAAATTTAATTACTATTCAAATTTAATTTTTAAATAATATATTTATTAATTAGATTGATTTAAACTCACATATATCATTGAATCTTAGTTGAGTCGGATTCAACTTAAATAAAATAATGTCATTAAATTTTTTAATTAGACAAAGATTTAATTAAACTTATTCCATTAAACACCCTTTACGATAAGGCGAGAAAGGTTACAAACTACACGGAAAAAGTAATCATTTTTTGTTTCCTTAATAAGTTAAACGATATTTTAATGTGTCTAAAGCGCACACCAATAAATTAAATATTAGAATATTTAATATCATGAATATATTGGGTCTCATTATTTAAAAAAAAAATTATTATGTATTTCAGAATATAAATTATAAAATATTATTTATTAATTTTTAACTAATGTTTTAATGATGTTAGTAAAAAATCATCAATTTATATTAAAATAATCAATATTTTATTTTTATTTTAAAATTAATTTTAAGTATATAAAAATTCTAAAATTTAACTAAAATAAGTAATACTTATTACATTTTTATATAATAACAACATTTATTTTTTATAAAAGGTTTATATTTTAATTATTTAAAATCATTTTTAAGGACTGAAATTAATATTTTTAAAAATGATTATCTTTTTTAAGTTACAAAATTATTAATTTAATATAAGTTTATGAAATTACTAATTAATATTATTAAGATATTAGTTATAAATAATATTTTTATTAAAATTGTGTTAAAATATGTTTAAAGTTACAAAAATCATTTTAATTTTCTAATAAAAATTTTTATTTTAAATTATTTAATCAAATTCTTTAAAATACAAAATAAGAATTTATTAAATTAATTTAAACGCACTCGTAAAATGAATGGATACAAGTCTGTTCGCCAAATTGTAAAACAAAGACAAGACATGGTCACGTGGAAAAGACCCAAAGACCTCGCTCGTCAAATCTAACTCTAAAGTAAATGTGACGTTATGACATCAATTAGTATATAAAATAATGGATTTATCAGTATCTCATATATTAAATAAATATGTTTAAATAATTGAAATGTGAAATTTATCGTTTTGCGTTAAATATTTTTTAAATTATTATTTACAATAATAATGTTTTTTACATAAACTTCTTAAACTAGATATATTCAATTAGAAACAAAAGTTTACAAATATGAATTACTTGATCTTAAAATCAATTGCAATCAAATTTAATTTCATAATATCATTATCATTCAAAGTAAAGTTTATATAAACACCCATTCACACACCACTGCAGTGTAGGCAAAACTTGAAAGAGGATGGGCATTTGGGAAAATTTTGAGGGTAAATTGGTTGTTAGTGTATCGAATAATGCATGTTCCCCTTGTCTCTTAACAAACATGACGCAGGGTTCACCCAGAAATCAACAAATTACATAGTGATAGTGGAAGAGCTTTTTTGAAGTTACGTAGGCATGGACAATTTCGTACCAACTCACTTTATCATTTCAATTTTTGACGGAGATATGAAAAGTGTTGAGAAATTCCCTTTTCAGAAAATTTACTTGGGTCGTTGTCCAATTTTTTAAGCACTTAAATATATAAAGATATTTAAGTTATGATATTAAAAAAGTTTAAAGTTCTACATTTTTAAATTTTTAAGAAATATGCACATGGTTTTGATTTTTTTTTTTAATATATCTCTTCTCAAAGATGTTAATCAACTTCCAAGCATATAGAAAATAATAATGCTTACTTTTCACAAAAAAGAACCTACAAAAATTGTCGTGGAATATATGTTTGCTTCCCCATCTATGTTTGAACTTGTTTTAACTAAATATGTAAAGGATATGAAAATAAGTTGTTTAGTGTTAAAAAAGAAAAACAATAATCATTTTAAAGAACCTCAATAAAGCAGTCTATAAATTCACACATTAATCACTAAAATATAAAGTGTAGTGAAGAACCTCAAATTTGTTGTGATAGCCAATTAAAGACCTAGATGTTTAAATAAATTGATGAATATTTTAAAAATTAAATCGGTCATTAAATTATAAAAATATTAAATACTTATTTTTTAGTTCAATTGTAATGGAATTAATATTGAATTAAAATATATTTAATAACAAACTAATATATAATTATAAATATTAAATTAATAGAAAAATATTTTACATGTTCTGTAAAATCTATAATAAATAATGAAATACTATATATATAGGATTAATATATGAGGCTTTATTTTTTAAACAATATTTTTAATATAAAATAATCAAAATTTAAATGATTGATTCAAATTAGTTTCTTAGGTCAATTTTTGCCAGTTTTAATTAGCTCGTGACCGATTTGACTCTTTTTTTTTTTTTTTCTCTTTAACTTTTAAAATTGTTCACTAGTGACTTTTTCAATCCAAACGATTGTGTCAACTAGTTTGTTCCTGTTTTTAAAACAATAATACTAATTAGAGATCCCAATTTCATTTTGATTACCAGATTAATGAACTCAACTTTAATAAATAATAATAATACTTGTCAATTACAACAAAGTTAAGAAAAACATACCAAGTATTTTTTATGTAAATTTTTTACTTTTATACTATTCTAAAAAAAAATAATCCCAAAAGGCTTATATACATGCATTGTGAAACACACACAACCACCAAAAATATGTAAAAGTATTATAGTAGATCCATTCAGAAGACTTGAGCCAAAAATTCAAGCCCACTAAGACATAAGAACTGAACCCACATAAAAAAGGCGTATTTTTGTTAGGCCCAAATCAAAAACTGGCAATGCGGAAAACAACAACACTACACGTTGTACCACCCACTAAATTATGAATTCACACCACTGCAGCATTGCTCAGTCTATTGGGCTTGACCCAAAAGTTGGTAAAGTCTCCCTACAATAATAATAATAATAATAATAATAATATTTAATTATTTTTGACATTTTCTTTAATTTAATAATATTTTACACACTTATCATAAGCCAAAAAAGAATTAATAGTTAACACTGTATTAGAAAGTAATTTTTTTTAATATAAATGAATATGAAAATTAATTTTCTTAAAACAATCAAATGAAATTGAATAGCACCACCTGTGGGGCGGGTTTCATGAATGTTATAACTTATCATAACTTATAACATTATATTTTATATATGTCAGCTGTATTGCTGAAATTCTAAAGCCGATTATGATGAGTTTTCATGTTCTGATATGGTTATCTTAAAAATAATTACTTATTTTATATTAAAAGTCAGAAACATGTCCTATTTCTCTTAATCCAACATTATTTTGCCATCATTACGTTTCGCAATTCATACATATCACTAGCATTCCACACAATTTTTTTAAAACTGAAATCCTTAAACATTAACTTTCGAATACAAACCCAAAAAAGCAACTAAAAACACGTAACCATTATCCTTTTTTTTTTTTAAAAAAAAACTTTGTTATTACATAAAATAAAATTACAAATGAACATTTAGCTATGAAAAACGACACTAAAAAAAATGGTGGTCAGGTCAACTGCAATGTGCGTGGCACCATGCCCTGCGTTTCTATTCCGTTATTATTAACCCTTCGTTAACTTCTGATAATTCCCTTATAGAAATAAATAAAAATAATAATAAAACCTTGTAAGTGTAATCACTGATCAATCAGAAAAAGAAGAAGAGGGGTGAGGGTAAGCATGGAGCTATGGAGCAAAGCTCGAAGCTTTGCAGAAGAAGCAGCGAAACGGTCTCAAGAACTGTCGTTGGGTGCTTCCAAGTTGAGCGACATCATAGCAGAAACCACGAAGGAGATCGCGTCGCAAGCTTCCAAGCACCTGGACTTGGTCGAACCTTCTTCGAAAAGCGACGTCGATCTCGAGCGTTTTGGCTTCACCGATGAGTTGAGGGAGTTCGTCAAAGGGATCACCATCACTACCTTTGAGCATTTTCCCCTTCAAGGTTTCTTCTTTTTCTTCTGTTTACACGATGCCGTCAATATATCCTTTTAATTAAATTATACTAATTAATTTAAGTAGATAAAACTAATAATTATTTTCTAAATATTATAGCATCATAATTTATCTTTATCCCCGACATTAAATTTAATCCCACTGTCAATATTTATTGTCAACAACATATATTCTTAATTAATTTTAATTTAAGATTTCACCAACTTCATTTATTAAGTGTAAATAAGAAAATAAAAATAGAACTTTATAACAAAGGCTTAAAACATGTAGAAGGTGTTGTGTAAAAAGGACTAGAAGAGTCCTTTACAACCAAACTAATGTCATATTCTAAAGTGAAAATGAGTGCATTTTTAGTGTTTACCTTTTTTTTTTTTGTTATTTAAAACAAGTTTTAATTTTTATTTTTTATATCTTCAAAGTTTCCGTCTTGAGCAAACACTATATAGTTCAGTACTAATGGTACCAAGTTTAAATGCTTGTGTTATTCTGGTGGCACTTCCCTTTATTATTCTTGTTCATGTGAGGTTATCTGTGTTTTGGTTGCCCACTTGCAGATGATACGGAATTGTCTGATGTTCCTTCAGTTTCAAATGTTAGGCAGGATCTAACCGAGTGGCAGGAAAAACATGCCAATCTTGTTCTTTCTACAGTCAAGGTAGCATCTTTTTTTCAATTAGTCGTGATGATTAAATGTTTTGTTTACTCTCTTATTCTGTGATTTTGTTAACCAGTATAATAGGTGGTTGCCAAAAAAAGCCAAAATGTAATCAAAGCTATGCAGGACCATCAGTACTTTTACCAAAGTTATTGCTCTGCATTTTCTCTAGTGTCTTTATTAAATTTAAGAGGGCCTCCAATTATATCGGTTATGAAGTACGAATTGCTTTTTGTTAAAGAATTCTGTCTTATAGCTAGACATGTTTTTTTAATAGTATCATATTAACTTGAAAACTTTACATGTCTTGGTTGTAATTGCATCAAGTTTTTATTTATGTACTTCTGAAGTCCTGAGTATATCTTGTACTCGGTTCTTTTCTTTGGTTGTTTGCTATTGAGTCCCAAGGCTTAAACATTGATTCAACGTTCAAGTGTTTCCGAATAATTGGGAAGGAAAAAAGTTCTTTTTTCCTGGTTTAATTTTGTTTGCTTACCTATAACTATTTACAAATGATAGATAAAAGTTTTATGCATCCTTAACCATTGGAGTAGGATGTGCCTAATATTTATTTACTTGTCCAGAAAGTAGAGTAGATGAATTCCTCAACCAGGAAACATAGTAATTTGAGGCTGATGTTTGGGGGGAAAAATAGTATCATGGAGCAATGGCTGAGTCTGAAACGTTACACTCCCACTAAGTTATAGTTTGATTGTGAGATTTAGATATTGTAAGTGATTTACGTGTCTTAATTAGTGTAGACCTTTGTGTTCTAGGTCTTGTCTAAGTATGTGAGAAAGAGAGAGGGTGGGAGATAGAAGTAACGAGGGTGTAAAAGTTAACAACCCTGAATTGCTGCAAGGTGAGATATGGTTGTTCTTTGTCATGTTCATGTATCTATCACCTTGTCAGATCCAATCATGATGACTGACGGCATGCTGCCATGGTAGAATTTTAAGATATGTTGTATTCTGCTATCCAAGTTTGTAATTGGAGCAAATAAAGTGGATTAAAAAAATTGTATGTTGTTGTATTAATCTAGCATGAAGAAAGTAAAGCCTGTCAACTAGGTATATGGGTTATTTAATGTATACATGTTATTCTGTCCTCTATGCTGATTACCTTTTTCTTGGTAATTACATATTTGAAACATAATACACTCCCCCTATTCAATTTTTTTTCCCTTGTTACAGGAGATTTCAAGATTGAGGTATGAGCTGTGTCCTCGTGTCATGAAAGAGAGGAAGTTTTGGAGAATATATTTTATAATTATGAATAGTCATATTGCACCGTAAGGAATTTATCCTTTTCTTGAGTATTTTGGTTTTCACATTAAATTTTGCTTTAGACTTTTGTTCGGCCTTGGATCAGTTTGACACAGAATTATTTGGTCTTTGTAGTCTTAGAATACTATAAGGTCATGTATTCTATGAGGGTTTTCTTGTTACATATCAAATGACACACACACATGTATATATTATGCCTTTTCTTAATAGTTAATATCAGAAATAGTGGTTACTTGTAATTTAGAATATAGAAACATATATATTGTTCCCATGGTTGTCAAAGTATGTAAAAGAGTCACTATGAAAATTTTCACTATAGGAGATTGAAGGAACTTCTGCCATGATAATATGAGCATGTGAAATTTTCAAAAATATAACTGAGAATTTTAAATGAGAGTTCGTACAGGAAGCTGAGTTCTATTTCCTTCTATGCAGTTTGTGTTTTGAAACTAATGAATATTTTATACAGTATAATCCAAAAGTTTTGTTGGATTTGCATAAAATGATTACTTAAAAATCCAATAGACTTGTGGAAATTATCATGTTGGTTATACTTGCATGTGTTAAATGCAATGTATTTCTAGAAATTTTCTCATTCTTTAACCTGGGTTTTAGATATACTGTTTTGTGACTTTTGGTAAACTGTTTTGTCTTATGATTTCTGATAGCTATGAGAATCAGTACATGGAAGATGCTATACTAAAATCATCTGAACAAGTAGAAGATGACAAAGTGATGATGGAACCGTTAAAAGTTGAATTGACCTCTATTCAACAAGTGCAGGAAGTGAAAAAAGAGACCAAATCTTCAAATTCATCAACCGAGCAAGACTTGGATGTATTTCTTTTGAGAGATAAAAACAGCGATGATGACCTAGGTACACCTCTCTATTAAATCTATTGTTTTTTTTTTTTTAAATATACCGGTGTATTGTATATATGAGTTTGTTAGTGGTCCTGGTGGAACATCTATATTTATAATTGATATTGAGAAATTTTCATGTTCCAGAGTAATTGAAAGGATATTAACTCTATAATAGGAAAACAATGACTAAGTTATGTCATTGCAAAATGATTTATCTTTACCAAAACAATGACTAAGTTATGTCAATTGCAAAATGATTTATCTTTACCGACTTTTGGATTATAGTGGTCTTCTGATTTAAGCTGCATTTGGAACGCAATGATGACCTAGAGATAATGAGATGAAAAGGAAGGGATGAAATCAAAATAGTTTTGCTTTTCCCATGATTTGAAGTAACTGAATTTATGGGTCAAATTAAAATAGTAAGCGGCAAGTTTTTAAACTAAAAGCAAAGTACCCTCATCATCCCCCAAGTTTGGAGAGGAACAAAAGGTAAGAAAAGTGAGAGCTTGAGGGGTAACTGTTCTCCCCAAGTCCCCACGTTTCTTCCACTTCATAAACTTTTTAACTCCCACACAAGATGGATTATTTTCTTTCCATGTTTTCCTCTTCCACGCCTCATCCAAACAAATTTAGTTTGTGCAGTAATCTGGTTTAAACTATTTTCTCAATCATTTCAGCTATTTTCCTTGAGAGAACTATAGCTAAGCCAACTAGAAGGACTGCCATTTCTTCATGTTTGCCTGTTTGTTGGTCTGTACATGCCATGTTTTTCAGAGTTTGAGAATTATATCCAGTGATAGTTAGTATATTCCTCTCGGGATATGTATGTGCCCTGGGTGGTTCATCTCTTCATGGGTGAACTTAAATTTTGATGGGTTAAATATGCCAACAATCTCTCTGGTTTTTCAGATGATGGCAATGAGGAATATGGTGATGATGATTTGGACCAACTGGTGGATAGTTCGGTAAGCATGATATAATCTTAATGTGTGGTTTATTTACATATTCCTTCGAACAATTTAGTGGGAGTAAATTAGCACATCCCTATATCACTTTTTACTCCCTTTTGTTCTCTTTAGTTGATGTTATCTTAATAAAAAACAAACTTTTTCTATATCCTAGACAAGCATTGTCTAGGCTTCACAGAAAAATGTCATTCCAAGTACTTTTAGGTGTCATTTTTCGTATGCCATCAATCACCTATTTAATATTCAAATCTGAGGTTGCAATTAAACCTAATTATTTGGTAAACTTCCCGTGAATCCCACCATACCATTTTCAAGCTCTCCTTTTTGTTGGGTTAGTAGATGAAAGGTTTAGTCCTTTCCATTTGAAATAAGCAATTGCATGCTTTTGTATAGGCATTAACCAAGCGTTGGTTGTAATGACTAAGGACATTAACATTCACATGAGCTAGAATCTGGAAATGATAGGTGCTCGTGCATGCTACTAATTAGGTGACTGTATTGACTTGTATAGACCTTAACAATAAAATACTATTGAACCACATTAAATGCTCTTTTCGCCATAATGGAATATTTATTTGGTCCAGTTGGAACTTGATTGCGTTCTGAAGCTTTATTTAACTATTCGTTGAAATTGGCGGCATTTATATTTATTTACTAATGTATTTTAGAACTTGCTTGCATGTACAGGATGATGAGAAAGGGAAATCATAGATGTTGCTTGAAATTATTGGCTGACATTGAATTAGTGGTAGCAACATGACTGAGAATATTCATGATGAAATGAGGCTTAACTTATTGATGTGACACATACGGTGGCTGAGCTGTTCCATGATGCTTACATTTATTCTTTCAACCCCTTTCGTGCCCCCTTATTTCATGTGTTTAATTGTTTCTCCATGTTGAGGTAAAGAAAGTTGGGTTTGTGATTATATAGAATGTTTGTATTTTTTGTCTAGTTTCGTTAATTTTTTAAACTTCTTTTCTTCGTGTGTAAAATACGTATTAAATGTACTGGATTGGGATAGGGAACCCAAACCACTTGATACATTGATGTGTAATCCAAGTTTGGGTTCCAAACTTGGTTTTAATCTCATCAATGTGAAAATATATTATTATAATATCGCCTTTTCTATTTTCTATTTCTGAAAAAGAAATTATACAAAACAAAATAATTTAATTAATTTGTTATAGTTATTCAGTATTTTTATTCATTTATTTTTTATCTATCTTATTGTACTTTTTGTTAATGGATCTCTTTATCTTTTGTACTATTTAACTGGTGTAAGTGTTATATCATTTTCTTAACCTATGTTTCAAGGGTACATAACAAGAACTATGAATAGTAAATTTTAATTAAGAATCACATGATATCATTGAATCTAATGTACTTATAATATTAAATACTATAATTTTTAATAAAATATTTATCGTTTATTAATTTTAATTTTGTAAAAATTGATATTTTATCGATTGTACAGAGTTTTTATACAAGAGAACACTAGTAAAAAAATAGTATTTAATAACACGTTAAAAAAATTAAACATAACATATTAAATACTTTAAATTACGATAAAAATTATGCATTAAATATTTTTTTAGTTTTAAGACAATAACTTTTTTATAATTTCTTTATTTACAACTTCTTCTCTTTGAGTACATGTTAAAAAGTTGTTTAATATTATCTTGAATTTTTGTATGAATAGATGGAGTATTACTATTTTAGTAATATAAATAAATAAAAAGATTATTTGCAATAATTATACATCTAAAAATTATTCATATTAGTACTATTTAAATCAGATTAGTATGTCAAAATTATTTTCAAATATAAATCAATTTACTTAAATCCAAATTTTGTAAAAATCAAGTTTATCCAGTATTAAGTTTGTAAAATTCTAACCCAAGAACGCTGAAAAAAATTGAATTAATTGGCTAACAAAGGTACCATCCAAGAATTAAAATGTAGCAATTTCTCATGTGCAGGCATGATTTTGGAATTCGTACAAAAAAATATCGAACTATTTATCACTCCTCCCTTTGATTTATCCTCACCAAAGTGAAAACATAAACGGATTAAAATAACAATGTCTTGGTCTTGATATCATTGTTTTTGCTTCATTCTGCAAATTTTGTTTGGTTCCCCATTTGGCGTTTTTATCATATAACCTTTCTTGTCAGGTTTTCTGAACCATAGCAAAGTTTTAATTAATTCCTTTTTTGCTTCAATTGATTATTATGCATAGTGGGCCTTCAACTTCCTCTATCCCGGGGGCCCAGTTCAATCATTAGTAAGGTATCTCATTTGATGATAATATTGATAAATACAAGCCTCGTACCGTGTATTATCATTTCTTTTTCTTGAATTTATTTTGATAAATGTTAGAAACTACCTGAAATTGGCAGATATTTAATGGCTGCTTATGATATACGATGATTTAGAATATTCTTCTGCTACTTTCACTTTCTCTTCTTTACTATTTTTTTTATTTTCCATTTTCATTGATAACTCTCCAGCTGGATTATAAATAACTTTGAATCATGTGACCCACCTACTTACACCCAAATAACTTATGCTGCTACTTTAGCTCACATCTGCTTTTTTCTTTGGGTGAGACGGGAAGCACGTTTTATTGTCTGAGGATAAGATTAATGCTTTCTGAAAACTGCAAAGAGCAAATCATCATCCCTAACATATGCCATCTTCACCTTCCCAAAATCATATTCCTCTCTACCTTTATCATTTTTTTATTAACATTTATGGGTCAATCCCATTATTTATACATTCGTGACCTTTTGAACAAAAGTAAACTTAACGTAACGATAATCAAAAGAAAGTCCGAAATATTGGCTTATTTTTTATTTTCTATCTAATCATAACTTATAAAAAGCAATTATTTGCTAGTTAGCTTGCTAAATATGATATAATTAAAAATACTCTCGTTTTAAGAACGATGACTTGCATCTAAAATATGAAAAAAATAATATTAAACTTGTAAGAAGGGAGCCTTAAATAGGAGAGTCAATCCCCATTATGGACATTTATATATTTCCATACTTCATATGTCATCCTGCTGATGCTTAAGCAAAGAGGACGCGCGTTCAACTAATATTATTATTTTTGCTTAGGTACAAAATCCACTTGTATTATTTTTCTGCGTATACCTTAACCTGTGTCCTATTTAGGGGAGATCTTTGAAATAGTTTTTTTCTTAAGCCTTAATTCAAATGTTCAATTACAGATATAGTAATAACAATTGGTATGGAGATCGAGTATGGATTACTATATCCCATCGAAGTTGAAAAAAATAGTAATTAGCGGGGAAATGATCAAAGTCAAGTCAGCTCCACGAGCTGGATATTGGATAATCACAATCACCATAAACCCTACTCGTTACGTCACTTACACGAAACACCCACGCTTGTATAAAATAAATATGAGAAATACTATTATATAATAATTTTGTTATATTTTTTAATAAATTAGGGAAAATAAAAAAAAGGGAATAATAGATAAATGATGTAATTAGAAGAAATAGATGTTTTTTTATTATAAAAATTTATTGTGAAATTAATAAAACAACTAAGCTAAATGCTGGAGTGGAAAGTTATTATTGGGACGGTGATTGTGTGTGCGTGTTACGTTTGTGCTTAATTTATCATCTTTGTACGTGTCCCGTTTTACCTTTTTAATCATATCACGTTAAAGGAATTCAAACATGTGAAAAATAATAGATAACTAAATAATATATTAATACAGAAGTTGTAAAAATTATTCATTTTAATTTATTATCAATTAAAGAGTTCATGATTTTAAGATAAGAATTCTTAAAATTATATTTGCTATTTATATTTATAACTAGACTAACTTTTCTTTCTTACCTACATTTAATTTTATTATATTTTTTTCCCGTGAAAATAAGACAAGCAATAATTTTAAACATGCCCTGGTTGGTTCTTTCTTAATTAAACGAGTTTCCCAGTTTTATCACTTACTTATAATTAGTATGTTTCTAATAATGTTACCGAGTACATGATTACTTAGTCTACGACATCGTTTTCAATATTCTAAAGCAATTTGTAGTGTGTGTTAGAACATAAATGAAGGTACCCTTCCGTCATTTTCATAGAGTCAAGTCTAAAATGCAAAAGCTTCTAGATGACATTCGCTTCAAGTTTGGCGGTATGGTACAACCAGTAACAAAGAGTTAATAATTGATTTTATTTTATTTTCCTCAAAATCACACACAAATTAATAATTACTTTACTGGAATGCCTAGCTTTGACTTCTCTGTACAATAAACTTGTAAATAGTATTTTAATAATAAATAAATAAATACTTTTCTTATTTTTAAGATACTTTTTCTAAGCAAACGTTATTTAAAAAAGTGTAACAAATGTCTAACAGCAAGTGGGTAAAATAAGATCGGGGAATTAAATAGACCCAAAGAATGAATTAAGGAAGAACGTACGACTTTCCCTTCTTGGTAATAAAATACAACTTTAACTAACAATCATCACACAAAAAATTAAAAGAATCATTATAAGTTTTTAATATTTTCCTTGTCTATATATATATATATATATATATATATATATATATAGACTTTGATGATATTTGACCAAAATAAAAGAGTATTGTTAGCACTAAAAGGAATTTAGATTGAATAATAAACTATATATTAGTTAGGAAGTACATGTTAAGCTATGCTTACTTAAAAGGAAGCTAGCATGAAGTAGAATAAAATGAACAATGCGTATGGAAAAATGGCTTGATTGGAACTGTTTGGTTAATAGAGCTTCTAGTTGAAAATTAGACATATCACCAAAAATGTTTTTTATTATATGGTAGCCAAACGTCTTGTTAGTCAAATATATGTAAGCAAAATGGCAAGCTGAAATATAGTGTCTTAAATTATGTTCTATACCCAACGACCAAAAAATTTAATTAGGCCATAAAAAATGGGCGTTGGATTTGATGTATTGGACTTGTTCATGATTCTTAATACTTGTAGTTACCGGAGAAAAGTAGATAAGGGAAACTTTGACCTCGTAAGAAGGATAAAAACAATTGTTTAATCAATTTTGGATGTAATCAGAGCATTATTTATATATAACATATTACTTAAGTTATATAGTAATTACTAACATTATGACTATTAGTTATTACCCCGCATTATTGTAAACGTTGGTTAAAGGGTTGAGAACATGACACATAAGTGTAGTGGTTAGTCATTAGTTTAGATTTATACGTCAATTGCATAACAAATAGTAAATTATCCAACAATTAAGCAATACAAAGCATTATACTCCTATTTATCTATATTTCTCAATTAATCCACTCTTTATTCCTCTCGCGCTTTCATTTTCACTTACCATCTAGAGCAAACTTAAGCTTTAGTCAATCTTTATAGCAGGGACATTATGATGTAGTCTAATAATTCATAATTGAGAAAATCAAATTTCTTCTTTACAAAATTGCCTAAATATAGAAAATCACTAATCAGTTAAATAATTTATTCAGTTTTACTAACTTAATTGTTATATCAACAAGCACTTTTTAAAAACTTTTTGAGTGGTATTGTGCATGAAGCAAAAATGTATTTTATAGTTTATTGATTAACAAATATTTTTGCCTTTTGTCCAATTTTCATCTTCATTTTATTTTGTCCCGTGACTATTTTTAAAATTAATTATAAACTAATAATTACTGTGCTGTATAATCCTTCGTTTTACAGGAAATCAAATGCTAAGAAACCCTGGTTTGATTCTTTACTTTTAAGTTCTAAAGTATTGTTTATTTATTTCTCCCTTTTTCAAATGGATCTTAATTTTTAGATACCAAAACAGTTATGATGATTTTGACTCATTCAACGTCCCCTTTCCTTTATTTTCAAATAATAGTTATTTACCGTTTAATATGAAGTGTAACCAAATTTTTTAGAGCAATATTTGCATAAAATAAAATCCATATTAATGGTATATTACTGTATCAAATTATTAAACTGAATATGATTGAATGGAAAAAAACTAAGCAATACAATTTTATCTATTAATTTCAGTTTTTCAAACTTTTAAAATGCCATATATTTTTTAAAACATATAACTTGTCTTATTACTTCTCATATTAAAATTTAATTTTTATTTTTAAAACATAATTATACTCGTTATTTTCATATTTTTAATATATTATCAGCTTTAAAACAAATTTATCAATGAATAATTAAAACAACACTTTTGTGCTACTCTTATCAAAATTATAAGATTATCAATACTATTTGTTAATTAAAATTTCAGTTTTATAATAATGTTAAATATAAAAGTTTAACTGAAATAAAAATTCAATTTTAATTAATAAATAAAAATATTATTACCTGCCAAACAACCTCTAAAATTCTCATTCTAGTGGCAAGAAATTAGCGAAAGAGAGAGAATGGGAGGAGCCAGCATCAATTGTAGCCAAGGATTGCGAGGGATAGATCAGTCACCGTTGACGGGATAGGTGGGGTCCTAAAAGGTAGCCTGTAGATGAGTTATCTTATTGACACGTGCCCCCAAACCACCATCGGATGGCCCATATCAATGCGCCATTTTGAAGTGAGAAATCGTAAATCGGCTACGCTTTTAGCAATAGAGAGCCTCGTAACGGGTTGAGTTCCACTGTTCTGCGTGAATCAACTTAATTTGTATTAAATAAGAAATAAACCTCGTTCTAGTTTAAATGAGTTGAAATTTCATGAGATGTGAGTATTAAAATTTTGTCTGGCCAATATGGGTTAGATGCAGGTGGTATGAGTAAAATCAAAAGACTTAGTTGAAGAGAGAAAATATTTTGAAAGAATTCAATTTGGGTACTTCTGAAATTATTAAAGAAAGAGACACAATCACATTTAATATCTAATAATAATTCACATCAATTTTACTCTAAGTTTTTTAAAATTTCAAAATTAAACTTCGTGGTTGTGGATTTTTATTACATATGAGGTTTAATTAATTTATATTAAATTTACAATTAAAGCATTTCTACACTTATTGTAACAATGAAGTATTTTTCTTTAAACAAGTGTGTAGCAAAGTTTTTAAGTTATTAAATGGTCTTTTCAAAAATAGAACTATCCAGTGTCTTCAATGTATACAAAATTAAAATATATGTTCAAACAAAATTTAGATTTATTTATATGTTAATTTTAAATTTCCATTTTTTCAATATGCATGTATGTTTCTAAATCATAGTTTTTAAAAAATTCTGATATTCAAATAATATATATTATTTGATTCCAATTTAATAAAATTTTAATAATTTAGCACACACCGCACACCCCTCCCTTCCATAGATTTTATAATCTTAATTTTAAAAAACATAGTCACATTTCTAAATATATCAATTATGAAATTTTTATATTTTAATTTTACTGTGAAGTTTATATTAACGAAACACTTGCTTATTTAATATATAAATTATTAAATTAGTTAATTAATATGAATATTCTTAAAATAAAGTATATAATTATTTTTATAAAATAAAGTAGAGGAAATATATTAATTAAATAAAAATCCAGATGCATCATATAAGTTCAATTACTAGTTTATGTATTTAACGGCCCAAGGTGAATAAAACAAGAGTGAAAAAAATCATTTTTAAATAAGTATTAAATAGAATATATTTTCACTCACTTGTTTTCTTAATTACTTAGATAATTAAATAATTTTAACCGAGCTAATGTGAAAAAATCTGACTCGTGTAAATCGCACGATTTAATGTCGGCGTGGTTGACACGATTAGGCGTAGCTCAAAGGTTGATGCAAATCACCAACCGCTCCCTATGTGGACTTGTTAAAGTCCACAATCACAAACTGCCACGCGTCTACACGTGCGAAAAATAATTGTCGCGGACCCAGAGGTGCGGTGAAAGGTGATTTTTTCCCTACCAATTATTTAAAAAAATATTAACTAAAAAAATTAACGTCCTGTTTAGTTTAATTGTTATTTTCAAGTTTTGAATTTGTTTAAAAATACAGTGAAATTTTTTATAACTATTTTGCTTTAAATAAACCTTAATTTCAAAATTTAGATATAAGCAACATAACTTGCATTTTTTCAACTTATATTTGTTTAACAATAAAGACAATATAGGAAAGAGAGTAATAATTATAATATATTTTTCATAGTAAAATAGTGATGATAATATTAATAATTATGATAAATGATAATAGTTTATAGTGTATATAGTTAATGCTTACGGTGATAATTAATTTAAAACAATATTCATAACAATGATTTTAATAATTATAATATTAATTATTAAATATTTTTATTTTAAAATTTAAAGTAAAACTATTTTAAAATGAATCTTAATTTACTTTCATTGTACATTTTATTTCAAAATTTATACTTAATATTAAAAAAAGTATACTTCAAAGAAGTTGTAAACATTTATATTAAATATTTTAACTTAATTAATGAGCTCAATTTGTGTAAATGATCTGTTTTGAATACATGTATTTATGTTCCATCTACGTGTAAACCATCAATATATATATATATATATATATATATATATATGTATATTAAAATAAGTAAAATTTAAAAAATTTATGATCATATAAAAATATGATGAGACTTTTTAAAAATTTCGTGTGATTTAAATATTTTAATTTTTTATTCTAATATTAAATTATTATTTTTATATTATGCTCAGATATAATTAATCATACTTAACAATTTAAGATGAATTTAATTAAACTTTTATATCTTACAACAAATGAGATGATACTACGAAAATGAAATGTGTACAAGACAACACACATATCACAGCTGGGTGGAGCCAACCACAGGAGATCTCAACTTAACCATGGTTCGGTTGGGTTGGGTTGGGTTAGCCCGCCGTTGCTTGCTTTCTTGTGTGCGTCAACTCCGAATGTCTTTCTGTTTGCGTTTTATTGTCTTTCTCTCTCTCTCAACTTTCTCTCCCTCCACCTATAATAATTATTCACTCTCCCGCTCGGCACTCGCCGGCGATCATTCCGCGTCACTCGCCGCCGGACCCTTTCCGGTTTAATTATCAATTTCCGTTGTCGTTTCCTCAAATTCGAACACTCTTTTCTTTTTATATTTTTTGGATGAAAAAAATAGCTTGGGTGGTTTCGATTCGGAAAAGCGTTGTGCTTCTCTGCTGAAGAAGCGTGAATGTGCTTGAGAATTTTGCTTCGTTGAGAACTCGAAATCTTTGTGTTTTGTGTTGTCGGCATTGGCGAATGGTGGTTTCCTGAGTCGGTGTTAGGTTTGATCCGGCACCGTTTTGGGCAAGCTCGGATCTTGGAGATACCCTTTGGAGAAAAGGGGTTTGTTTGGTGGAATCCACGTTTAGGGTTTGGTGGGTATGAAGAAGGCATTGGGGTGAGGATAAATGTGCAAGCCGGAGTTACAAGATTTTGGGTATATGGGTTCGAATACGTGGGAGAGTAAGGTTCAGAAGGTGGGCATGGGTGGGTTAGGATCCGGGTCGAGTTCAGGGTCTGGGTCGTCAAGGTCTAGAATGAAGCTATGGATGATACGGGCAACCACATCGGTGTTACTGTGGACTTGCATCGTTCAGTTAACGGCTTTGGGTGACATGTGGGGGCCTAGAGTTTTGAAAGGTTGGCCTTCTTGTTTTTCTCACGAATCTGCGGCCAGAGCAATAGATGTTGAATTACCGTCTCCACGTCCACCTCTTTTACCTCCCAAGAGTTAGTACTTTGTTTCTTTCCATTTTTGTTTTCAAACGGTTTTATTGTTTCCCAATTTTCAGTTATTTTACTTCTTCAATTTTTTGTTACTTTGTATTTTCATCAGGAGTTTACAAGAACAATGGGTACCTTATGGTCTCTTGCAATGGAGGATTGAACCAAATGAGAGCAGCTGTGAGTGGCTGATGCGTGTTTGTGCTTTTGTTCTTGTTGGTGTGTTGACTGAATTTACTTGTCTGATTCTGTGATGTAAAATTTGCAGATATGTGATATGGTAGCCATTGCTAGATATCTGAATGTCACGCTTATAGTCCCTGAACTGGATAAAACATCCTTTTGGGCTGATCCCAGGTGAGCCTTTTATTATTGTTGTTGAATATGTTTTAACAACAACCACCTCGTTACGATTGTTGTTAGGGTTGAAAGATTTCTTTATTTTGACTGAGGATTTTATCTCATTGTGTTTATTACCTTTATGTTGTAGTGACTTCCAAGACATATTTGATGTGGATCATTTTATTACGTCCTTAAGAGATGAAGTGCGGATATTGAAAGAGTTGCCTCCTAGACTCAAGCTGAAAGTGGAACGTGGGTTTCTCTACACTATGCCTCCCATTAGTTGGTCTGACATATCTTACTATAAGAACCAGGTCAGTTTGTTTGAATTATTCTAGGGCCAATTTGTTTAGGAGTTAAAGCTTTTTTTTAACCTAAACAACTATCAGCTTAGCTTGTGGCTGTAATCTTCATCTTATGTGACTCAATTATGTTGTTTCCAGGTTCTCCTTTTACTAATTTAAAGCGAATGGCTTATTTATTCTTGTAGATTCTACCCTTAATACAAAAGTACAAAGTTGTCCATTTAAATAGAACTGATGCTCGGCTTGCCAATAATGGTCAACCTATAGAGATTCAGAAGTTGCGGTGCCGAGTTAATTTTAGTGCTTTGAGATTTACTTCTCAGATAGAGGAGTTGGGCAGAAAGGTGATCAGGCTCCTAAGGCAAAACGGTCCATTTCTGGTGCTTCATTTAAGGTATGAGATGGACATGTTGGCATTTTCTGGATGTACTCAAGGTTGTAACAGTGATGAGGTGGAAGAGTTGACAAGAATGAGGTGATTATTGACCTGCGTAGTCCTGCTATTTCTTGTTTTCAATGGTTTTTTATTTTTATTTTTTCAGTCACATTGGACGCTAATTGAGATTTGATATAAGAGTCAATATTCGGTGCATTGGCAGATATGCTTATCCTTGGTGGAAAGAAAAAATAATTAATTCTGATTTGAAAAGAAAAGATGGTTTATGTCCTCTAACTCCTGAGGAGACCGCCCTTACGCTTAAAGCTCTGGACATTGATCGGAGCATTCAAATCTACATTGCAGCTGGGGAAATATATGGTGGGGAAAGGAGAATGGAAAGTCTAGCAAAGGAATACCCAAAATTGGTAAACATCAATGGTCAATGCAGCATGATAATTTTAATGCTTGATATTTGTTCAATGTCTTTCTTACTGTCTGCGTTTGCATTTTGTCAAAACAGGTCAGGAAGGAAACGCTGTTGGAGCCATCTGACCTTCAGTTCTTCCAAAATCATTCATCTCAGATGGCAGCATTGGATTATCTTGTCTCATTAGAGAGTGATATTTTTGTCCCCACGTATGATGGAAATATGGCCAAAGTTGTTGAGGGCCATCGCAGGTATAGTTCTACTATAACTATATGGCCAAACTTTGAATTACTTTCACCCCTCCTTCTTGGATGACAAATTTATGATTTTGTTTCTATCAATAACTATAGTAAACTGGTTTTTATATTTCTTTGTCAGTGTTGGTGTGTTCTGTTAAAATAGTAAAAGCATTTCTCTTCCTACTGTAACCAATTTTGCACCTAACAACAATTTCTGGCATAGTCTACAGTTTTTAGTTTTTCCCCCCTCTGATCGAACCAAGTGCTGAGTGAGTTGACTTTGTACCCTCCAATTTTTGCACAGATATCTTGGGTTCAAGAAGACAATTTTATTGAACAGAAGGCTCCTTGTCGATTTAATAGATCAGTACCATAATGGTGTACTGAACTGGGATGAATTCTCATCAGCCGTAAAGGATGCTCATGCCGATCGAATGGGTAGCCAAAATAAAAGGTTGGTAATCCCTGACAAGCCCAAAGAAGAGGATTATTTCTATGCCAACCCACAGGAGTGTTTAGAGGCATCAGACAATCCATTGGCGTTGAGTAGTACATGAGTTATGTGTTTGAAAACTGTGGAATTACCTGTGCCATTGCCTGGTGCACTTGGTTTTCTACCAGATATTGAGATAGTTTTCCACGCAGTTTTAGCAAAGACCACAGCTTTCTATCAGAGGCACAGTCAAGACCCCCATAAAGAAAAGAGGGTTTGGTGGGATAAACCTTTACAAAGCTCTAGTCAAGCAAAGCAGCGATACTTTATATTTTATATATTCAAATAATCCATCATCATCACATTCATGTACAGAAGCTACCCTGCCATTACAGGGTGAGAGCAGTTCAAACAGCATTGCATTGTACACGGAGAAATTCATATACAAATTTGGATTACTGGAACTGCACTTCGTGGAAGCTTAATTCATTGGTATCTGCCTCTTTTTTTTTTTTTTTGATATAAATATATAATTTCCCCCCCTCATTTGCCACCTTATTTTCAACCCACCTCCATGATGATTTTCAGGATTATACAGTATAAAATTTGTTTATTAGTGTATTAATGCCTCCTAACTTCATATTCTTTTCTGGGTCTGTTCAGGTTGTTTATTCTCATGTCACATTTATATTTATATTGACAATGTGTCATTTCTAATTAATTCACATTTGCTTGATGATAACTTATCTATCAACTCTGAAGTGGTTAAAGACCAAATAATACACATCGGAAGGGAACTCTTGTCCTCATGTGACTCTCAATTGTGTAAGTGTCATGGTTATAGATAAGCTTATGATTTTGGTAAGGTGGAGTTGTAGTAGGCTTTTATTCTTGGGAGCCTATGTTCCCCGAGAGAGACATGTTAACAAATACATCCAATAAAAGCCAGTGGTCAATTGTGCCAAACAAACATAGCCTATGACAAAACGTAAAAGTGGTCCACTATGATTATTGGTTTATTCCACATTATTTGAGTCACGTGATCGTTGGAGGAATATACTTTGTTACCGTTACTTTTGACGTCTTGCCAAGATGGTGCTCTTGTATTCAATCCATACGTATAAGAAAGATTCTGCTGTTTCCAGTGTATTTCATTGTTTATTATAGGAGAATGTAAATTAGTCTTTCTAGGGGATTGGCTAAATGAAAAAAGGGTAGATAATATTTGATAAAAATTGTTATATTAATAATGCAATGAACTATACATGCGTTACATTAACTAATTAAAAGATTTTATCGAGTCTATATAAATTTGAGGATTAATATTTATATTTTAACAAGCACAGTTGTAAGATTAATTTTTTGGACCAAAAGTGATGGTTAAGTTAAAAGTTGTACCTAGAGTTATGCTTTTAAAAATTGATATTTATTTTAATATTACAGGTAAAGATTTGCATATAACATGGTTTGAGCACGTTTCTTAGGTTTCATAACTAAACTATCAAAGGAGGGACTAAGCTGCTTTTTATTTTAATCGTGATCAATTGCTTCTCTCTTTGTTTTTGGTAAAATCAGTAGCTATTTATGACCCAAAAAATATATATCATTATTGGCCGTATACCATATTGGTCTAGCGAAGAAGTTCACATCAATTTAGTTCATCAGCACAAAAAATGTATTATTAATTTGGGCCTAAAAAACTGACATAAATTTACTCATTCAATCATAAAAAATGACATACCAACAAAGCTTAGGCGCAATATTAAACGAGCTGTCGTTCTAGGAGGATGAGTATAATTCAAAAATTGAGAGGATCTTTTAATTACTAATCCAACGATTCACCAAATCCATTTCTATTATATGATCCCAGCGACATTAAACTTTACATTATCATTAGGTGGTTTAAGTGAAAAGAATTTAGATTTTGGGTATATTTATCTTGGGTTCAAAATCTCAAGAGAATGAGTGAGGGGCCACGTGGGTAAACATATATAATGGGGGAACTTACACTGATACAAATGCTCTTAATGACTTGGTGAATACTAGGACCATACGTTGAGAAACTAAAATAATTTGAGGGCTTAAAAAATAAAGATAATGGCGATGGTGACTAAGTGAGGGCCCCATTAAGATATTGCGCAGCACATTGCAATTATAAACAATTGGACTTCAATTATCCCATTGTTTCCATGATTCGGTCAATTATTCCACAGAAAGCTGCAAGAAGAACAATATTATTGACTCGGGATTGGGTCTTTGCTTTCATTTATTCATTGATTAACGTGCCCCCATCCTTCAAAATAATTAAGCAATTCTATAGATTTTAAACTTAAAAGCCAAACAAATAAAGACACACGGTTTAGTTAGAAGAATTCACCTAGTTCATAAAACATAGTTAATGATTTTTATAAATTATTTTTAATTTATTTTATTATTAAATTTCCTTTAAAATTTATAATACCCTTTTACAATTTTTTTTAAAAATAATTAAAATCACGCTTATCATTTTCTTTTAACATATTCAAATTAACAATTGAAAGGCACCAATTGATCAGGTCTTTTTCAATTGTCTATGGTATAAAACTAGTGCGTTGTATTTTACTATTCTTCACTTTTTTTTTCCCAAGGTATCAGTACTAGTGGATCACCGTATTCAATGCCTAATTTGCCAACAGCAAAATGTGGCAGACAAACAATTTCAAACCAGCATTTTCTTAAAATGATAATCCAATCCGTCATTGCCAAATTAGGATTTAATTCAATAAAATTAACAACAATTTTTTAGTGTATAAGTAAGTGTACATAATAACAAATCAATAAATAAAATTTTTATTAAAAATTATAACATTTAGTATTATTAATATATTAAACTTTATAATATTATATAATTTTAATAACAATATACTATACATAAATTGATACAGAAATTTATGCCGTGTAATTTAAACACATTTAAAAAATTATATAAACAATAGTGAATAAAAAAACTTAAAGGCAAGATATGATGTAAGTATCTTTTTTAAGTTTGAGTACTTAGAAGATTGTTTCGTCAAATCAAACACAAATTGAACAGAGAGCAACTAAAACGGAATTGTTGTAGAATAATCTATACTCGAGTTGGAAAAATCAAGAAAATTAATGGGAAATTGAATATGAAGTAGATCCCAAGAAAATCCTCACTAACTTTTACATTTAATCAAATTTAATATAGATTGAATGATCCAAGAAACCCCAAATGGGGGAAAGAGTCCAGTTGCATAAATTATCTAAACCCCAAAACATTGATTAGTGTCACTAATCACTGGTCCTTGGTTAATAATGCTTGTAGTAGTAACATAGGGACTTCATAACTAGCAAATTAATATTAATCACCTTGACGATACTTTACATATTATTAACTCAATGGATGTTGCTTTGGCGCCACGTCAAGTTCGGCCACAAAGTTCTTCTAATTAACACCGTTTCACTAGTGCCATTATTAAGTAAATGCTAATTAATTAAACTAAGACAACGAGTTTGTGTTTGAAATGCTTTAGCTTAAAGCAAGTGATTGTTGCTGAGATCCAAATCCTAATCTGCAATGCAAGACAAGCGACAATCTTTGTTACCAACGAGGCAGCGCTATGACTTATATAGTGACGGTGATGGTTGGTGCTGTGTATTGTTTCAACTCTTTCTTAAATTTCACACTATTATAAGTAGAAACTACATGAACTTGTTTTCATTTTAGTGGTGATTTCGTGACATTTTAACTCTTGGACTTGGACTACTAAGTGCTAGCTAACTAGCACTGCTACCGAGAAAATGTGATTCATGCGACACTCTGATAGATGGTGCCATTTGAGTTAAAAAGTATTACTAGCATTTTTCTTTCCTACTAGTAATAATATATCATTCTACGCATTCTAGCAATATTTTATCAATAAAATATTAAATAAAAAATAAATATACTAATTTTTTTTTAAAAAAAAGTATTCATTTCATGTTTTGTTAAGTAAACAGGGAATTATCTAACTAAGAGGAATGAAATTTTTCGTTACGAATACTTTCGTTTATAATTATTTATCCCCTAAGGTAATGCATGTATCTAAAAAAATATTATGAATTATATTAGTTATTATGATAAAATGTTTTGGACTTAAATACCTTTATTAAGAAAATTATAATAAAGTTTTAAATTAATTAAATATTTGAGCATTAATGAATAATTTATGTTTTGAAATAATTTTTTGTATTTTAAAATAAAAAATATATTTTATCATGGCCATAAAAAAAATTTGGTTAGGCATCGAAGCTCCATGTGCTCATCACAGTAACCTACGTCAGTTCTATTCAGAAAATTATCAGCATTTTAGGAAAAATGTGAAATTTATTTTGATATATAAAATGTCAATAAATAAAACCATTTAATATTACTTAATACATCAATGTTATAGTTTTAATTAATATTCTTATAACATTAATTAAGATAGACTTTAATATTGTGTCTTGTTAAATAGTATGTTAAAGGTAACGATTAAGTAATCTATAATTATACTTTTTATAAATAAATCACAGTAAATTTATGCTAAAAAATATATGAATAATTTTTTTCATTTTTAATTGTTTAATGAATAACCTATAATTATTTATTAACATTAATTTCCCTTGTTATATTGAGTTTTGTATCGGTAATATTTATATTTATAAACAATGTAATTAAATTATATTTAATAAAACGAGCTCAAAGCTAAGTTAAAAGTGTTGAATTTATAATTGAAATTGATTTATATTAAATGACTTAAAAAATATAATATTAAAATTAAATATCACTTATTTTTATTTATTTATTATCAATTAATTAACTAAATAATTATATAAAAATATTATATATATATATATAAATATAAAATAATTTAAGTTATATATTTTTAATATAAAATACTTTTAAATAAAAAATAAAACTATTACAAACGTAAAAAGAATAAAAAGATAATAAGACTAATATATATATATATATATATAAGATTTTAATGGTAGTAAGTAAGATGCTTTTTTTTAATATAAAAAATAAAAATGTAATAAACATATTAATAATATATTTTAAAAATTAAATATTTAAAAAAAAAACACTTTTAAAAGTTATAAACTCATTATTTATTTGAACAAATCAATAAGATATAAGTTCCGAAATAAGTTAAAAGTTGTTAAACACTATTTTCAGTTTTTGAGCTTGTCTATTCCACCATTAACCCACGCCCCGGATCATCACTCAACCATCACGATATCACTGTTTCACCACCTTGGATTTAAACTTAAAAGTAGTACACCTGGTTCAATTTAAAAATATTTATTTAGTCTTACGTGTAAAGTAAACAAAGTTCAATAACTTCATTATTCATCCTTATTATATAATTTTAAAAAAATCTTAACTGGAATATTCCTACAGGTATTATAGAACAATCCTTCGAACACTAATAGTGATTAAAAAATCTTCTCAATAGTTGCGTTCTTCTAGTGTTTTAATTTCGATCTCTTTAAGAATGAGGTTTGTTTATCATTATTCCACTCAACTCGTGCTGGTTATTATCTAAAAATACTCTCTAGAAATAAATAAATAAAAAACCATTGATTTCATTATAGCTTATATTATTTCATAACACTAGACCACCAAAAGCAATATTAAAAAAATGTGCAACAAATGAAGGAGCGAAAGTTACATTTACAAGAATGGAAGCCTAGGTTAAAGAATAGCTTCTCAATTAGTATGGAAGCCTCTATAATTATATCATTTAGAAACTAAAATAATTCATATTATTTTGTTGGGGTGAGCCTAAGTATCCCAACAAACTAAAAAGACACTGAATGTACAGTCGATCTCACCCTCGCTGGATAATAAGCCAGCAGAAGACATAAATGCCCCTTCAAAAAATTAATTTTAAAAAGTTACCCCAAATAATTAAATAAAAGTTATAATAAGAAAAGAATGAATATAACGGTCGAATTAACTTCTGCACGTCTTTAGCTTCTTAACTGCTTGGTCAGACTTCCCGGAGCTAGCAACTCTAGAGCGCATCATCTTTTGATTGTTTGAAGGAACTTCATCATCCTAGGGGAACATGATTGACAAATTAGATACTGTTACACGGTTCTACAATGTGAAAATTTAATGTAATGATAGAATCTAGTTATGTTCATAAGAAAGATGAGGCAAACTGGACAATCAGTGTCAAATATACCTTAGCACCACACATTGACATTGGTACAGTTGGTCTGATGTTTGCTTGCTTACCAAGTTCAATTTGCACCGAGATGCTAGCCTGTGACAAATCCACCCCTGAACTTTGCAGTGCATGTGTAAGCGTATGCAACAACCTGTCCAAGTATAATAAGGCTTACTTAAATATATTACAACCAAAATGCTACAAGGAATCAATGTTGCTATCCTAAATTTAGCAAAAGCATTCAGAGAAAAGACGTTAGCTAGTTCACTAAGATCACAGAAGAAAAGTACTAACAAGAAGAAATTTAAAATTTTACAATCTTGATTCTAAAGTTGTTCAAATATTGATTAGGTCCATCCAAATTTGTGCAAATATTTGGACTAATATCTAACGATAGTGTAACTGTCTGAATGAAACAGAGGAGCCCTACAAACCATCTTAAACGACAATTGATGGGAGTTTTTAAGCTGCAGACTGAACTTATAGACTTCTTCCCCAATTATCCAGCTTCATGAATTGCAAATCTAATCAGGGAAAGAAAGTGAATTAAGTCCAAATTTAGATTGCATAACACAATCCAATGACTTTGCGGCAAATCATTTCTTAACCCTCATGCCAACGACAAGACAAGTACGATGTGACATTAGTCGGTGATTAAAGAACTTGTCTCCATAATCACCTGCCACATCTCTATTCTCTATCCATCAATGCTCTCAAGGGGATGAATTCATATTTTTTTATGTCCAACAATAGTTCAAAATGGTCTAAAAGAAACTATGCACAAATCAAATGAATATAATAAAAATCCTCACCCTTTTGAGTACACGCTTGATATACTAATGGCACCACCTTCAACGGCGAGCTCTTTCTCTTTCAGCTTTTCATTGGTAGCAGCCATCGTCTGACATTCCACTGAAGGATGATATTTGGTGTTCTCTGCATCAGATGCCGATCTATGTGCCAGCTGAGACACTATTCCAACTGGACCACCGATTTGGGTGGGAGTGAAGAAATTTAGCTGTGAAGAAATAGGAATTGGAAAAGCCTTGTTCATTGTTCCAGCCTGATGATCCATTGTCTTGGAGGTAGTGGCTGTGTTAAAGCCAGATTCTAAATTCTGGGTACCCCTAGGTATTGTTTGGGTGATGGTGATATTTTTCTCGTCAACTTTTGAAGCAAATAGCAGTGTTGGAGATGGACATGACCCGCTATCTGTCCCACGAGGTTGAAAACTTTCAGCTGCTGGCTTGTCATTATTTCTCTGCTTTGAATAAAAAAAAAAAGTGCAAAATAAGTGTTTGGATACGAGAGTTCACAATCATTATAGTCACTTCTAAATTCAAATCCATTGCATCAGGATATATGATACTAATGAATGAATCCACTTGAATAACAGACACACATCTGCCTTCTTGAGTCTATTCCAACAAGGAAATGCGAATTAAGTGGTAGGGAATAGTAAATCTCTTAAGGAAGATATTATTTTTCTTTAAATTCTACACAGCTTATGATAGGCATGTATGGTATTTACCCATGCCATCAATTTTTCTGGCTCGTTACTCCACCCTTGTAATGAACCTTCATACTTATGCACCTTCTCTTGTAAAAAATGAATGTACTCAATGACCTACAAATAGTTCAGATTAAGCATTAATAAGCAATAACACAAACTTATAAAATAAAAATTAAGTCATCTCATATGAATGCACCTCTAACAAAAAAGATGCCTTGTCTCTCTTTTGGTCGCTGTGTGGAATAAGCTCTCGTAGAGTTTGGAATCTGCATGATTAATTCGAATTTTCTGTCAGATGACAGTAAGCTTTTATAACAACTAAAAATAAAGAAACAAATTTTCGTTACAAGTTAAGCACTAGGACCCAACAGTTACTCCCAATTGTAAGGAACATTTCTTTTGAATTATTCAAAGTTTATATTCAGTTCATAACTAAAAAAGTGAAAGTTCCATTTACGCCTGCATTTAAACTTGCAAGAGCCTCTTCTATCATCCACAAAAACTATCAGCTTGGAAGAAGGTAATACATGCCTGTCGTTAATTTTGCTTCTTCTCCGCTGTTCTGTTGCAGAATGTTTTGATCTTGGTGTGTTGGGCTTTTGATCAGTACTTTTCCCATCCACTTTCACCCTCAGTTCGGCTGTAAATAATCACTTTCGTTAACCTCGTAAGAAAATTTCAAACAAGTGACCTCGAGGGCAATGTAAGTAAATAAGAATTAAAAAAGTTTTGGCAAGATTTCCTCCTTACTCCTTTTCTTTATATTAAAATTAACATACAAGAACAATGGTGAAGAACAGGAAGAATAATTGTTAGAGAACAAAAAAATATAGTTGCTACACAGTTTCACCAGAATGCATCACAAATTTATAACTTTTAGTATAACTTTTAATCTTTTATAAAAATAGTGTAACTAGGACTTACCTTTAACTTTTACAAGTCTTACGTATAATTAACGACTCTCCATATATATATATATATACAGCATTTCTCAACAAAGAAATTTTAAAACTTACCTCTTTGTGTGTTCGACGGTTCTTTCTTAAGAAAAAATGTTTCTTCGTTTTCTAGCACTTCATCCTGCGCACTATCCTTTGCAGATTTCATCATTTCAATAAAACTCTGGTTCTTCTGCCCATTTGTCCTGTGGAACCAATTCCAGAATCCAGCATATACATCATGTAAATACCCCGACTAAAAGCAACTCTTTCAGATGAATACAATAAGAAGAAAAAAAAAAGGCGTATAAACATCCAACAAGAGGCAGAGAGACAAAGTGACTAACTGAGATGAAGAACGAGAGCTAAAGCTACTGTGACGATTGTTGGGAAACGACTGTGATGTTCGTTCCGTTAGTGTCCACTGCCCTAGCTTCGCCGAAGACTCTGTCCCTGAATAAAGCGCGGCCAAAAACTATTACTGTTGCAGATACCATGCAATTGATATACTCATTATCATGGTTATTACTACTACTTTTTAATGCTGAATGCTGACAAACATTAAATTTGGCTAATTTGTCCAGCACACTGCCACGGTCTATCTATTATGTATAAATAATGTGGGATGAGTAAAGTAATCAGACGACATATTGTAAATAGATGATTTCTCCATCTAATTGTTTCAGAAAGAGAAAAAATTTCTGTCAAACAATTTACGCTTGAATATCAGTGTAATATCCATTAATTTATAAAACTATTGAGATGATTTGCCCCACGTAGACACAGAAGGTAGAATCTCACAATAGTAACAATTAAAATTGATAAGAACATTAATTGGATACGGTCAAATAATTTCTTCGGTGAGGAACTCTATATATTGTGGAATCTGTTCTGTCTAATAATAATAATTTTTAACACTTTTATCTCTTTCTTTCAATCACATTATATATATATATTAATCTTTCTATATCTTTTTGCATGTATACACTCAAAGAGCTTAATACACACTATTTTCCTTTCCAGAATAATGGGACGAGTATACAAAATCAACAAAGCGGTACTTTCATTACTCCTCGAGATGCTTGGATGAAATTATTAAAAATATTACAAGTCAAGTTTTCAATGGTTCATTTAAATCAATTTTTTAATAGTGCAATTGATAATGCATACATTTTCTTTATTAACATTATCACTGCATAAATACTATTTAAACAAGTAATTATTTTCCAACACTGAAATTATAAACACATGGGTAAGATAATTATTCTAAACCTATTATATTCTTTCAGTAAAAACAACACAACGAACATGTCATTGAATTAAAATAATAATATTGTACAATAAATTATAAATTCTATTTCAATCTTGAGGAATGGAGAAACAAAATTGATTGTTTAATCCTTGTGATGGTTTAGGTTTAGATTTAGATTCATGCATGCGTAAACAAGAGTTATTAAAAAAAAACTCTCAAGAAAATGCAATAAATCGGTGGCGTTAAACATTTAGGTGTGTTTGGATAATTAAATATTTATTTAATGGCTTTGTATTACATGAAATTTTATATTATAAATTTTGTCATAAAATTTATTTAAGATAAAAAAGAAAACGTTCTTTTAATAAGTTTAATTAAAATAATTTCTTTAAATAAATAAAAAAAAAGCTCATAAGTCGTATATTATTTATACAAGTTGAAATGGACTCCGAGAAGCTCTTTCAAATACTCGGTGATGCAAGACACATGAAAAAGAGAAATTTTATGGTTTACCTCCCAAAGTGGGTTTCTCGCCCACGTTATTTTCCTTTCCTGTCTTTCCCCTCTTTACCGATGACTCTTCCCACAAAGTGAAACCACTTGAAGTATATGAACTGCAGTTGGAGTTGTCATCATTCCTATCCGTACTGGTAGTTGCTTGACGCACAGTGTAAAGGGCTGCCTCTGGCTTTGGAACCCTTTGATTATTATTGTTAAAACATGAAATGTGGCTAATACTGTATGTCCCAATTCCTCCGGGTAAGAGGTGCTCAACTGAAGGTGGTGGTGCTGAAGATGGTGGCTTTTGCGCCACTGATGATATTTCATCTGTGGCTTCTTCCTTAGCACTGGCTTTTGTTTCTTGCCGTTCTAGTGGCTGCAAGAAATCATGAGTCTTGAGGTAACTTCCTGTTCACACGTGAAGAAGGCAATAAGATACTGTTCACTGTTCAGGTCAAGGGAAGAAAAAACTGACTCATTCATTCAACCCAATTTAATATTGAAAACAAATCACACAAAAAGTATAAGAGTCAAAAACAGCTTCGCTAGCTTGGAGACGGATTTGAGAAAAGCTGACCCATCGTTTTCATTTCTAGTTAGCTATAGTGCATGAAGCACAAGACTCGTGAGCATGCGCCTAATAAGTGGACACAAAATGACAGTAACTAAGGTGTTAGCGTTCAGGTAATCAGTAATATTCCAGAACATTAAATATGAAATAATATTATTGCATCACCTGTAATTTAATTCACTACAGTATATTGATTCATTTTAAAATTTGTTCATAATTTCATTTTTAGGGCGATAAAAACTTATCAACACAAGATGATAAATTTCTGTGAAAATAAAGCTCAAGTTAAGTTTATAGTAAAACATTATGTTAAAGAATACTATACTCCTATATCCTTGTTTAGATGTACTCAATTTATATATAAAAAATTAATTTAAATTAAAACAATTAGCAATATTACAAATTTGTGATTTTATTAATTTTGAAAAACTAATAACTTAACTTAATATTTCACTAAAACCTCTCAATTGGATACATTCAAAGGTACTCAAGGGATGACTTAAGATAATTTTTTAGAGAAAAAAAGTTGTTTTCATTTTTTTAAAAGGCTCGCAAACAAGAGAAGCTTAACGATATACTTTTGAAAAATAGTGGTAGATATTTTTGGAGTGTCTACACTTGAAAATAAATAAATAAATAAATAATATGATAAAAAGAAAAAAATAATTAAATAATTTGAATGTCCAAAATCAAAGTTATTTACTTTTTCTTACCCTCGTTTTTATCCGCCCAAATTTCTCGTCGTACCCCAACACCGAGCAGACCACATTATACTGTATATATATATAGTACGTAACTGTCGTAACGAAGATTTTACCTGTTGTGAACTAAAAGTATTCTTAACCATATTATTAGTTTATGTGCCTAGGTTTTAACTTTTAAGAGAGGGAGAGAGAAAACTACAATGGGACAGGGACGAGAGAAAGCAAAGCCTAAAGTCCCAGAGACAGTGTTCAAGCCCGCCACCGGGATATTCCAAAACCGTTTATCAGCCAAAGAGACAAACCTTTTTTCGCTTTGACAAAAAAGAGAGTGAAGTAAATATATAGCGCATAACGAAAGAACAGTTTTATCCAAGTCTTTCATTTTCGTTTTCATTCGATCCCTGACGGCATTTGTGAGCTAAGGAGAGTAATTTCACGAACGAAGAGAAACAAAAAAGCAGATAACTACGCCCACACGGGAAAGCTATTCCTTCCCCGTCAAGACCTGATGCGAAACGTCAAATCATATGCAAGTCCAATTCCAAATTGGGGCCCCTACCATCCTCATGTCCCACCCACCCCTTTATCAGACGGTGTTAAATACGCTGTGATTGACACTTTTCCATTCGATGGGAAAGCCCTCAGAAGACAGATATGAATAAAAACGCCACAGAAAATTTGTTAAGTAATAAATACGCAGTCCATGAGATTCATGGCCCAGATGCTTTGATTAAATATCGGTCACGTGCACGAACAACCACGATGTATAACTACTTTCACAATTGAATTATTTGCGAAATTGACCGTGATGTGGAATTTATACGATATTTACACCACGATCCCACGTCAGATAAAACATGGAAAAACAGAGGAAAGAAAAATAACAAAATTAAAATTTTTTAAAAAAACACAGTAAATCGTTTTGCATAATTACCAAAAATTAAAAAGCGGGATACCTTGAGAAGATGGCCTTGGATCTTGTTGGGCAGTTGAATTACTGTAGAGTGACAGAAAGTCATGCGTCGGTTTCCTTCCTGCTCGTGTTCCCGGAAAAATCAGATAATCTCATACCAACAAAATCAAAGAAATTATTATTATCATTATTTTTTTATTTTTGAAAAAAGGATCAGTTGCGATCAGGAACTACCTTCTGTTCCAAATGGACGCGCCTGAGGAAGCTCCATTAAAACCTGAATATTATGCTTTTCCGTCTTTCTGTTTTCGTTTTTCTTCCCGGAAATTCAACGGAATTTTGAATTTCGGTCCTCCCGAAGATAAAATCTCATATAATTCAATTCCGTTACCGCGTTGCACGACTGAATTCTTTTTGAATTCAAAAGCCAACGCAGGGATTCAGAACTCAGTATCTCGCCGATTGAAAATTATCAGATCCTTCTAGATTACGTTCCCGGCCGGCTGAAGATCGGAGACGCATTCGTTCAATTTCGTCTACGAATAACTATTTACCAAAGCAACTGAAACAAATAATCGTAGTAAATTTTCTACGATTTGTCGTGTATATATTCATATATCAAATGAAAATTTCACGATTTATTTCCACGAAAGTAATTGAACAAAACAGTTCGGCTCCAGAATCATCAAAATACAGAGCGTCCAGTTAGAGATTTCCCAGAATCTGAAATCAAATATTACAGAGAATCACAATTCAATTCAACATCCAAAATTTAATTTGATTTCTGTTCTAATTATCAAAAAGAAGAAAACATGCAAAACTACAATCCAACTCGAAAAATCAGCAACATCGTCAATACAATTACAAATAGAGAGGAGAAAACGTAAAGATCCAAACGATTAAGAAACATGAAATTACAATAATTACCAGAATGATAGCTGTGGAGTGGAAGAAGGACAGTGAGAAGAGAAGTAGCGTGTGAGTAAGTTGAAGCAAAGCAAGAATTGGAACAGTAACAAGAAAGTGGAGTGGACAGCAAAATCGAAGTGCAGAAGAATCTGAGAGAGGTTTGACACCAAAGATATCTCTCTTTGCTCTTCTGTGTGTGTCTGGCCTTTTTTAACTACTTTCTCTGTGGATTCCTTCGTAGCTCTGAAAACGAGCACTACGGCGAAAGATGGGGTTTCGGGTCGGACCCTGCCCTTTCTCTTTCTATTTTGTCTGTTGAGTTCAGAATTGATAATTCAGATCAAAGATGTTTTTATATAGTTTTCTTCCCTTCTCTTTTTTCCGTTTTCGCCATCCATTTTCATCTCCTTTTTCTCCGTCAAATCCGTTTACAAACGTCGTTGCGGCGGGTAACGACGTTTAATCCCTGACAAACGGTTTATTCTGTGCCAGACGTCGCCGTTTACTTCAATATACGGTTATATGGGCCGGGAGACGTGACGTACTACAGAAAACTTTTTTCTTAAAAAAATATACATAGTATTATTTAATTGTGTCCTGTCAGTAAAAAAAAAAAAAGTAATAGTGATCCAGTTTTTCTTGAGCTCACAAGATATTTGACAGTACAAAGCGGCATATCTATATGTCAATAACTAAACTTATAACAAAATATATGAAATTATTAGAAAATTGTTAGCTTTTAATTATTGTAAAAATATATATTAATTTTTATATCCATTGAATCTGTCTTCGAAATATTTCTCTCTTATATATAAACGATTATAATTTTATTATTTAGTATATTTATTGTGACTTGTTAAGTGCAATGTTACCGTTATACGATTATGCGAAACGCGTGAAGACAAATTTGTGTGTTAAAATGTATAATTATACTATGTAATGGTTAAGTTATTTCGGTTTTAACATGAATTAAGTAAATCCTACTTACAACTTGTTCGAGACCATACCAAAAACTGCCAATGAGAAGTGTCTCGTATGTAAATAGTAATTTTAAAGGTTTAACTCCGATTTTAAGTTTAATTTTGTGTCTAAGTTTTCATCTCAATAAAACATAAAATGTCGTTTACATTTGTGTTTATTTTTAGGATAGTCACTTGTTCTCTTTAATAACTTGTAGCGAAGGATAAAGTAATTAAAACTGGAATACAATTTAAAATTAATTATAAATAGAAGCTAAAGTGAAAACAACGAATTAATTTATGGATGAATATTAAATAATTAAAATACATTTTTAAAATAAAAATATTATGTTTCGTGAATTATTTATATATTTTTATATCTTATTTTGTCTACTTTCATTAAAAAAACCAGGTGACAAACTAGGAAAATTACAAACATTTAGGGAAAAACATACGATTAAATAATTTAAAACTAAAAATGATTTAATTTTATTTGAAAAAGTCACGTGAGAGAGAAGGGTAACGAGAGCGTTGACATGGGAACAGAACGCAGTTGACGTCCTTAAGATGAAATTAAGAAAGAGATAAATATGGAGCTGATGATTAGTGCACAGATCCCTAGCAGTATTATCTGAGTAAATTACTTTAAGTAAACTCTAGCATTTTTATAATTAAAAATGGATTTACATTTTTATTGTTTTGTTTTTTTATCCAGAAGAGATAAAAAATTAAGAATGAAGACAGAGAAAAGGAACAGCAGATGTTGGCGGTAAGGGAGGAAATGTCACGTGCTGCACCACCTCCCATCTCGATATCTTGATGGATGATGGATCTTTTTGGCTGTGCCGTCAAACGCGGGATTTTTTATTTTATTTTTTTGGGGTTTTAAATCTAACTCTTTGCTCTTTACTCTCTCTATCATGCCTTCTCCTATGCCTCCATGTGCATGGTCCTCAAGATTCTCTCTCTCTAATACCCACCATACTCCCATCAATTGCAGTTTTAATGTAGAAAATGTTTCTTTTTTATCCCATTACGTGTACACAGTCTTAGATGATAAAGAAAATTATAAGTAGATAAACTATTAAAAATAAAAGTATGAGAAAATTTGAATTGAATGGGAAAAATGATAAATAAGGTAATGCTCGTATTTATATTGTTCATTCTTCATTTTGTTGTGATAGGATACGCCATTAATTAACTATAGTACTATTCTTATTTGAATTTATATTAGTTTATCCATTTTTAACTGTAGGAATTTTTATTGTAGAATATTTTAGCTAGCTGAAAATGTATTTTCTTTACTAAAATGTTGGTTGAAAAAAATTAATTTTGTTTATAAATAACTGAAATTAATAGTTAGTAACATTGTTTAAAATGCTAAATAACTTGAAGCTTTTTAACTCCTAATTAAATTTTTTTCATACATTTATCCCTTTTTTTTTTCATAAACCCCCCATTTATTTTGAACCAAAAATATTTAATTTTTAATGACAAAATTTTTAAATTATATTAAATACTAATTTTTTTCATAAAGATACTATTTACATTTTTTTATACAATTTTTTTAAAAATTATTTAACTAAATTTAAATTTTTTTACTAAAAACAAAACAATTATATAACAAATAACAAATATATAGATACCATAACGTTCATTACCTCCAAAAGTAATAAATGTTAATCACTTAAAACGATTTGACAAAATTATTAGAAATTATTTTTATAGTATAAAACTATTAAAATAACAACATTAATTTATTTTTAGTATTTTTCTATTAATTTATGAATTAAAAAATTATCCTAATTTTTAAATAAAAAATTAAATTAAATTAAATTAAAAAATATATAATTATCAAATTTCAATTAATTACATCCTTCTCTGTTGTTTTACCTTTGATAACTAGTTCAACAATTAATTTTATAAACAGTATTGCCAAACACATTATTAAGATCACATAAATATTAAACTGTAAATAAGTGTACTCACATTAATAAATTAATACAATAAGCATAAGCATTATTTGATCTCAAGTCATAGCAAGTATTATCATCTAAACAACCTAACACATATTACGTTAACTCATACATTTTATAATATAATCTCCCATACATATATTTGAAAGAAATTAAATAGTTTCTTTACATAATCCGCAATTAACAGAAAAATAACAAATACGCCACATTACTAAGTTGATCATGTACAAGCACGTGAATTTTCAACCTTTGTCTCGGCCTTTCTCTTTCCGCGGGATGCAGCTTCCTCCTACCTTCTTTGTTTTGTTTTGTTTTCTTAATCGTGTTTTATAATTATTTCTATCACTTTGAATTAAACAAACGAATATTAATTTATTAATGAAATGATTCTTTAGCCCTCCGACAATCATGGCGAGCATTTACACTGTGATGCAAAGATACAATGGGACAGCTTGGAGTGACGATATCCTACATCTTTATCTTTCTTCTTTCTCTTTTCGGATATATATATACACACACATCTTGTGTTTCCAAGTGAACTAATTAATTATACCGTGCAATAGCGAATGGACCATGTTCATTCATCTCTACTTCTTTATACATTCTACAAAATACTATCACTCACATTTGGACACATAGCTATACTTTGCTGTCCAAGACAACTGAGCGACCTCTTCTTAAACAGCTCAAAGTTTGATACCTAATAGCCGATATTTATTAAAAGTACTTCGTTTCTTGGTTCGTATGCATAATTCAATTTGCAAAAAAGTACTTCTTTAACTAAGTACTCTTAATAAGTTATAATTATTAATGATATATACTTAGTCATAGATTATACACAAGTAAAAATTTTAAATACGCAAACCCATTTCATCAGAGAAGCGTAAGGAACGAAACTAATAATTTATTATGTCATATACCTTTTGGGCTTTGGCAGATCAAAATGATAAATTGATTAAAAAGTCAGTAAACCTATCGAACTTCCTTGTTGGCGTGCCAGACAACGAAGACATACGAAGCAAGGGGAAAAAAAATCATTTTGTATCTGAGAGTATTTAATACGTCCATAATTTTGAACTTTATGCCATTATTGTTCATCTCAAGAGATGTTTATATTTCAGACATCTCAGTTCAGTTGAATGAAATGATGGTTTCTCATTCAAAATTCGTATAATAATAAAAAAAAATTGTCCAAATCACATATTTCTGTGCATTAAACCCTTTAATTCTTTAGGAGATAGACTTATATTAAAAAAATTGCAATATAACTAGAACCACATTTCAAATACCACACATATTTTAGTTGGCATGCAAGTTTTGAATAAATCCATTTGGTATTTGCATATCCTAGAATAAACTAATTTTACTTTGCATTTTAAACAAAAATTTTGGATCATTTTTCTTATTACTGGTATATATACATAGAGTTTTCTTAATATACATTTATTTATATTTAAGAATAATATATCGAGAAGGTATAATTATAGTTTTTAAAAATACATGTAATTTCATTAAAAAAAACTGAGATACCAGTCCTTATAATTACTAGTATACAGAATGATGAATGTAACGTGAAAAAGTGAGGAGCGATTGAGCGGTCACTTTCGTCAGTTTCGTGACTGGGGTTAGGGATGGAAGGGAATGGGGGCCACGTGAGTTGACCCCAACTCACGTGCATAAAAACAAAAGGACTATGCGCAACATAACATAACCGGCAACCTATTGTAAGTGTTCACAATTCACACTCACAGGATCACAGAACTGCACCTGCTGCACTTTGGATGTCACGGGATGCCCCCACTTGCTTACTTTCACACATACCAGTGCCATCCAAATCCATATTTATCTCTCCTCGAATCACATGCAAAACGATAAAATTACTGCTGCCTCCTTAATTGGAACAATTAAGATATCAAGAGAGAAAACTATAAGCAAAATCGTACATTAATACAAACAAAACTCGTAATGCAAAATGGAAAGTTGCATTTATTATTTATGGGCATTTTTATTAATACTTGGTAAAATTAGTATTCTTACCCTTTTATTTTTTAACTTAATCTGGTATCTTGTTTATTTTAATTTAGCCATTTTTTAGTTTCAATTAATTATGTTCATAAGTCCTTTAAAATAACATTGAATTAGGATTATTGTTGATATTAATTGAAAAGGTTTAATAACATAATGAATAATTGAAATGATTTAAAACGATTGTGCAAATCTCAGCATGACTTGTCGGGTGCTTTGTTATTGAAGTGAGATAAGGATAATACGGAGGTTTAGTCAATGGTGTTTGTTGGTTTGGTTTGATCATATGATGGAAGGGGCGGTGTTGGTGGGGAAGAAGGACTAGTTACTAGTAGAGGTAGATTTAGTATATAGCCAAGGGTGACTCTG